GCTCTCCTCCATACAGCACGGTGGAAAGGGGATACGAGTCATTGCTGCCCCTCGAAGAGGCCATGGCCGCTAATGCCTAAAGATGAAAGGGGGCCAAGCAGAGAAGCGACCAAACACCTCCACATGGCTTCAGTTGTATAAACCATAATGACGAATTCGGGGACTAATATAGGCTGAGGCCACACCCCCTTGACAGGCTCTGACGTGTAATGACGTATAACTGTCTCTTTGGTTGCATGTCAGAGGCGCCCGGGCCATTGGATGTGCAGCTGCAAATGCTTTTTACATATAGGTTTCAATAAATCGAGAAAAAATAGTTTTCCCACTGCGTATAGCTACGCTATACTTCGTTCCCTAACTCGGGGAACTGAGGTTACGTGAGGTAACCAAGTAGTTTTGACAACACGCTGGTCAGATTCAATCCCGCTTTGACTTGCAAGATGACATAACCGAGAAAGCAAATGTCTCTGACCTTCTTTGTTCTGCAGAAGTTCAAAAGGTTCAAAAAACACTGGGCCCCATAGGGCTTTCATTGTATGGACAAAAACAGTTCTCAACATATTTATGTTCCACAGAAAAAAAGTAAGAATTACAGGATTGTTTTGAGGGTGAGTAAATGATGACAGATTTTTTTTGGGGGGGGGGGGATGAACTGTCTATTTTTTCACCCTCAGCTTTAAATACACCAAAAAGAGAAACGCTTCTATACTCAATCCGTAAACTGTCATGTGAGCAGCCACAATGCCAAAAGTGACACGTACCCTATACACATTTTGCCATTATAGTCCAAGTAGCACACATGACAGTGATGATACTGAAGAGTCACAACCAACCAAATTACAAACAGTACATGATCTCAACGCCACGAGAGCGGATCATTTTTAAAAACATAAAATCATTATGTGTATTTAAGAATGAGGACAATGACAATGAGGCAAAGCCACATGTCATGAAACAGTGTGATTCTAGTATAACCGCTGGGCCAATTTTGGCTTACCATTCAAAAGATTTGTTCCATCCTTTAAGTTGTTTTGGACCTCTTAAGAAGTTTCTGAATCGCCGTTGGGTTTGTGTTTTCATATAAGTGCCTCTGGAACTATCTGGTTTTGAATTGTTTTTTAACATTCTGTATTTTACATTTTCGGTATTCATGTTTTTATTTGCCATTGCCCTAACAACAATTAGAGCCTTTTAAATAAGATAAGGTGTTTGAGTCAAAAAACACTCCCTGCTGTCCTCCTCATAGGATGTAATATATTCCTCCTGAAATGTAATGGCATATTCAGCAAGCATGCTCTCTCTCTCTCTCTCTCTCTCTCTTTGGCACTCTTGGGGCCTTACCTCAAAGCTCTTCGTTGATGGTTTAAAGGCTTCAGGCAATCAGTAACTTGAATCATGTTGAGACAATCTGTAGGGCTGCCAGATTTTCAGGGGAATATGGTGCCTTCTGGGGAAGGTATATTTAATGAGTTTGGGCACATAAAAAATTCTAGTTTCGCTCTTCAGAACTGTGTAAACTGTTTAACTAAATAGTAATTATTAATCAGTGTTTCCTATTTACTATAGACTATATAAATATACACATACACATTCCTATCCATCTGTCCGTCCAACTGAGGCCGGATGGTTTTGGAGTGATGAAATATTACTGTTGATATACCTAGGTTAATAAATAAATTGGACACATTATGTTTGAGTACTGCATTTGAAATAAAAGCAAACTTCCCATATTCAGTCAAATTATTCCACCAAATATTACTCTTACCTTACTTAAAGTAAGACAAGACGTACAATAACATATCCTAATATCATATCCAATAGATATTGTACAGTTTTCATGCATGGGTGCCCAAAGTCCTCGACTATCACCTGACCCCAAATATTTAACAAGATTATCAATATATCAATACATGTTCAATATATGTAAGATCTTACATATGTATGTAGAAAGTTATTAACTTTTTCTGTTTATCTGCTGCTTTATCTCCAAGGGAGAAAAGTTAATATTAGGCATGTTTAAAATCCATCTTTTGTTAAAAAACTCTCTCAGTGGACACATGGTCGACATTTTCCTGGTCCATGACAGAGCCACCTGGCCTCAAGACCACTTGCGATTTGCATTTGTTACATTGAAATCCATCAAAATTGTCGTTTAATGTTATTTTAAAATGTATATGTGACCTTATTAATATGCTTTTAAGGATTAGTTCACCTCAAAATTAAAATTTCCTAATAATTTAATGTAAAAAACAAAAAAACACCAAATCATCTGACCAAAGATGATTTTTTAAGGGATAAAATTGACTACACTGGAACTTAAAAAAAAAAAAAAAAACTTTAATGTTTTGTCACCAATATAAGTATTTAATCTCATATGCCTTTATTATTTTATCTAAAGACACTTCAAAATACAGTAACAGAATCCTATGTTTTGGTTTTATTGAATACATTAGTGTCTATTGTGTCACACAATGGAGCATCGTCTGTACATCAGTATTCAGTTTGTGAGTCTATATGCCATTTACAACTATATGATGTGGAATTGATGTGCGGGATTTTCTGTTGATGTTGGTACCTCTATTGGTCTCTGGATAATTGTTTGTCAAGTGGTTTGTCTCTCTTTTTTATGCCTTACTAGAGCTTGACAAAATATTCCATATTATAGTCTGCAGTTCATTTCCCATTTTAAAGCTATTTCAGCTTCATTCCCCATGCACTGTGGCCACAATAACAACAGGGAATCCCATGAACCAATTTGAATTTAAAGTGGATTTTCCCCCAGTCGCCTTCCCTGGAGAGTTGAGGCTTGTATTGAATAGAGAGAGACTGAGCACCTTACAGTTGAATTCATTGCATTCATGATGAAATGGAGAAAAGTCTTTAACCTCACCAAGTGGTGTCCAAAACATTTATTTCAAAACAGTTTTGGCCTTTTTTCATTCTACAGCCATATTAAGACCCTTTTCTGTTCGCATCATGATTTTTTTTTTTATCACTGAAAAGATCAAAATATTATGCTATAATCAACACTTTTTATCATTAATCTTTTTAAAGTTTTCACATGACTGTCACAATTTCCAATAGAAGTTATCCAATAGAAGCAGTGTGCATTTACATTGAGGTCCTAAAGGAGACAGGGCCAAAAGGCCATTTATTTTATGTTGATGTAAAAATCATACTAATTGAACTATGGCTAAGCCACGCCCCCTCCACTCACTCGGACAAACACGGCACGGGCACTATGGCAGCTGTAACGGAGACATTTCACAGGAGGCAATTGGTGATTTTTGGAGACAGAAAAATTATATATCATCTTGAAGTCACCAAACGGCATTAACCATGCATTGGAGGGTTATATTAATAATTTTATTGTTGAGAAGGTTCAGCCCGTTCTCATCCTTTAACGTCATATAGAACGCTATATGCAAAAACGGCGCTATCCTACGCACATGGCACCCTTTATCGGTAATATAACACGCGAACCCAAGACGTCATAAATCCTTTAGCGTGAATATGACACGCACACACCTAAACTTAGCCCTCACAGCACGTGTTATATTAACGATAACGGGTGCCATGTGCGTAGTATAGCGCCGTTTTGTCATATAGCGTTCTATATGACGTTAAAGGATGAGAACGCGTTGGAAGGTTGATGAAAAGCTTCAGCTCCAGGCAGAGATGTACAGGTCACAGTGTAAACGTGATAACCCGCGTATCATTGCCATCACCGTTTGGTGCTATGAATCATTCAGCACAACATCGTTAACATTTGTTATCTCGGTTATTTACAGATATGTTAATGAAGCTAATTGACATGATGTACAACGCAGCTAGAAGCTAACGTTAATGTTTTCTAAAGTACATCTAACGTTAGACTAACGTTACGTTAGAGATTTAAAAGAAAACGTTCAAATACGTTGTTGCCTAAACCAGATGTAGACATCCTTGCGTAATTTATCCACGTTTAGTTGGTGTTGTGGTCTAGCTACCGCATAACTTAACCCAGAGCAGACACTTTTCTCGGCTGAGATGTGGCTTGGGAAATGGTAAAAAAATACACACCATCGCCCACCCTCTCAGGAACCTATAGAGTCAGAGTTGCATGTACCGCACCGTTTGACCATTTTAAACTTAAAATAACAAGAAAAAACAAATGAAAACTGACTAACTCCAATGCATTTCAATGGAAGTAGAAGCAGAGAATGTCCGAGTGTATTGGGCTAGCTGCGCACTGTGATTGGCTCATCGCATTTTAGGGCGCGGCTTAGCCATAGGTCAATTACAGTGGCCGAGAGAGCTCAACGCACTGCAACTGAAGAAAACACATGCAAATAGAAAAACACCCGCAAATTAAGCAAACATCTTCTTCAATTTTACAACACGTGTGTGCTCCAAATACTCACAACACAACCAAATACAGAAAAGCACTGCAAATAGCACAGACCACAACGGAAATGTTTCCAGCTGACCCCAATAAGTGACGTGTGATGTGCTCACAGCTCAAAATCTACTTTATTTTATCATTATAATTTATATTTTTGCAAAACATGAGATGACATGTTTGTGACATACAACTTTGTATAGAATATACAAAATGTTTAATGTCATCAGAATACTAGTGAGAAAAGAATAATGAGCTGAAAACTAAAATAAATAAATAAATAAAAAGATTAACACGAGGGAAAAATGTTATCCTATACATCAGTTACATTGTACAAATGTTGTCATGTTATGTTTAAATAAGTTTCATAAGAAATTTTAGGTAATACATGGATGCAAGTTGAGAAATCCTGAACAGCTATTCAGCTGATGGACACTGTGCTGCGTTGTCATGGGAACATCCCAGGTGAAAATAATGAGGAAATGATGTTGTCTCTTTCTGCTTCCTTCATTAAAGGCATTCCAAGTGGCTACATGATGGCACACAAGTGCCCTGCTCACTCCAAAGACCCCACTTCAGGGAATCTGCCATCTGCCCTTCAAAGGGAGTAGGTAGGGTATAGGGGGGCTCATGAGCAATAAGCGTGTCCCAGCCAGGTTTGTCACATTTCAGTTGTGGTCTATGCTATTGGCAGAGCGTTTATGTATTTGGTTGTGTTGTGAACTTTTGCAGCTTGTTTATGTATTTGGTTGTGATGTATTTGGAGCACACATGTGTTGTCAACTGATGAAGATGTTTTCTTAATTTGCGGGTGTTTTTCTATTTGCATGTTTTCTTCAGTTGCAGCGCGTTGAGATCTTTCGGCCACTGTAACCAAAACTATAAGTTTATGACCCCTTTAAAAAGATACTTTATTGAACCAAGTCAATTTTCACATCACATAAGCCCATCATATTCTTAAACTGTTGTGGTTTGATGCACAAAACTACCACTGAAATACTATTAAGGAGCAATAGGCCTACTGTAGTAGCACAGTTTTGGGAAACTTAGCGCTGTTGACAAAGTCTGTTTTCTAAATTAATATCTGTTCAGCTTCACTGTCTACATACAGTATCAAGGTGTCTAGTGATTTCCAGGAGAATCCCCATTGCAGCTTAAAAAGTAAGGAGTTGAAAGCAGACTGGGATTTTTGTGCGTGACAGGACAGATGGGAAGCACATGTGGGTGGACAGACTTGATTTCTGTGATGGTCTTTCCATTCTTGCACATATTCTGGATGTAAAAACCCTCTCTCCTTCTCTACTTTTCTCCAATCTCACCCTTCACCTACATGGCCGGAGTGGGATAACTGTGTATTTGCTATGGGCAGAACAGACTTTGGAAGCGTTGAAGGTGAATGTTTTCAGGCTCCATCCCGATCTTCATTTTCCCACTATATTCTGCAGCAGCATTGCAAAGGATTGTTCTCATTTCAGTATCGTTTGAAGGTCAAGTCAAATACAAAATAATTTTAAAGAGATGCTTTTGTGCGTTTTCTATTGGAGAAGAGTGCAATGACTGGATAAATCCAGATGCGTAGAACACTTTATCCATTTTAAAGAGCATATTTGGGATCGCAGTGGTAGAGTGTCTGCCACAACCTAATATTCACAACCAACCCACAAGATATAACTACACCCTTTCAAATGACATTTGTGCCATTACAGGATTTGCATAATTCCTTTAATGAACTGAGTGTTTATAAATACAATTTATTGTTATGTGTCCATTGGTTTGGCCAAAACATACTTAATTCTCCATTAAAAGGTCTGCTGCTTTGGGGGGACATGTCTGTAAAACACAGGGTGAGTGTTGTGTATGATTAAGCAATTAACAAAATGCACTGAAGTTGGCAGGGGTCGGTAAGATTTTTTTAAATGTTTTTTGAAAGAAGTCTCTTATGTCCACCAAGACTGCATTTATTTTAAAAATACAATACAATAAAACAGTAATATTGTGAAATAGTATTACAATTTAAAATAACTTATGATGGCAAAGCTAAATGTACATTCATCAGTCAGTCGTTCAGGGGTGCGTTTCCCGTACAATGACGTAGTTCGCTGCTTCACTACCATAGTACGATGCATCGTTGGAGAAATCAACTAGCTAGTCACGACTGTTTCTCGAAACCCACTGTCGCAGAGTATCGTTCAACCACGTTGGTTTCGCACGTGGTGGAATAATAACTGCTTTTAATGAAACTGTTTGAGATCCAATTAACGCTAGATTTTTTTTAATATAAATTACAGACATGTCATCTGAGGACTATTTCTAATTGCTCTCAGTTATTTTGCTTCATTATACCAGACTCCATATTTGGCTCGTTCTTACATAGTAGAGCACGTAGAGCACATGCGCACTCTTCAAACACGTTACTTTAAATCCTTTGACAAGCTAAAAGACGTAAATTACATTTGTATATATTCTAAATAAAAGGCACCGGTTGTACTGAATGTCAACTTGCTTATTTTGCTCAAGATAAGGATTTATTACCTCCAAATGTCATAGAAACGATGCCTCTAACCACAGGTTGAGAGCTGTCGTTCAAGCCACACAACTTTGCGATGCTTTTTGCGAATGTTCGTTGGAAAGATGGCTTCGGGAAACACCGACTCGTTGAACTATGCAGATAACGACGGAACTTGCGACCGTTGCAATGTTGGTGGTTGGCTAACGATGCTTTCTGGAAACGCACCCCAGCATCATTCATCAGTCTTCAGTGTCACATGATTCTTCAGAAATCATTCTAATATGCTGATTTGCTGCTCAAGAAACATTTCTTATTATTATCATCAATGTTGAAAGCGCTGGATGTGCTGCTTAATATTTTGGAATAGAATAGCTTTGCAAATGTTAAATGTATTATTAACATCTCTGTTTGGCAAATGAAACCAGGCAAGAAATTGAGTTATACTAAGCTCTCATGTTTATCGTACAGAAAAGATCCAGTTCATGCACCGGATAGGAGCATGATAACATTTACTTTTCTATATCCTCTTCTAAATTCTCCAGTGGGCCTAGAAGACCACGAACAAGCATACTTCAGCCACTGCTGGCTCACTCTCCCATGCTTAAGGCTGTGAGCACTTATAAGGCAGTTAGATACGGTGGAGGTGAGGTATGTCATCTGGAATAATTTCACACTTAAATGTATCCCAGCCAAAGCAGAGCACCATGTGTGCCCACTAAATCAAGTCTTTGGCTACCCACGCTACAAATTGGTCATAAGTCCACTGTAATAAAGACCATGTGAGGCCCAACATCCCTTGGCATTCTTCAAACTGCCCCTTCTGAATGCTTGCCAAAGCGAACAGTAGGAAGAATGGTTGGCCGAAGTGGTTCACAACAGGAGTTCTGCCTAAATGGTTTTCCTGTATGAAAAGGCCTATAGAATAAAGAAACATGGCAAAATACATTTCAGGTTGTTGAGCACTACCCTTAGACCTTACAATGTCCATGAAATATTATTTGAAAGCTATGAAACGTTTGTATTGTGATTTTTTTTTTTTATTGTCATTTAACCTATAACACATTCAACATCTTATTGACATAAAATATATCAATATTTTATTTAGCTGTAAAGACAAAGACTTTTTATGTATTAAAGAGTTTTAAGACTCTTATGAATTTTAATAAGCAAAAAGTTAATATTAAGTAACTTACATTTTAGATACAATATTGTCACAGTTCCCCCCCCCCCCACCAAAAAAAAAGTTTCAAATGAAGTACAAGCATAATAGTTGTGTGTCCCTGAGAAAAACACAGCATTATGTTTTATTTGTAAACAAATTAATTTGGTTGAATGAATGATTCAATGACTTATGTCATAAAGACAATGGATGCTTCTCATTTCTTATTTGTGCATTTTCACTTTCTTTCCTTGTATCTCAGCTCCACCCCCTGTAGGATGCAAAGGAAGGATGCAAGTAAAGGAAATTATGACAGAGGAATCGAAGGAAAGCTATTTGTGTATTGGAATATTTTTTGATCACTCGAGTGTCACTTCAAGCAGAGACTATTTATATAGAGACATGCCACTTCCTCAATCCTTAAAGGGATAGTTCACCGAAAAATGAAAATTATGTCATTATTTACTCACCCTCATGTTGTTCCAACCCCGCAAGACCTTCGTTCATTTTCGGAACACAAATTAAGATATTTTTGATGAAATCTGATAGTTGGATGACTCCTCTATACTTGTCCATAGGCTTCTTGAGGGATTGAAACTTGCCGGCCACGAAAAGTTATTAAAGACATCGTTAAAATAGTCCAAGTGACTACAGTGGTTCAATCTTAACTTTATCAAACGACGAAAATACTTTTTGTGCACAAAAACAGACTAAATAATGACTTTATTTCAACTATTACTTTCTTCTCTTTTGAAAAGGCGGCAGATTTGATATGTGTGAGTTATGTAAATATCAAACATCCCAAGTCTCCTGGAAGATCCGGCAGATTGATAGCGGCTCCCCGATGACCGCAAATTAGATAAAATCTCCCGGAATCTTTTGTGAGCGAGCAGTACCGTGTGCACGACAGAGAGCGAGAGAACCCTTGTGTATGCGCAGTAAAAGTATAACCTGTGTGGAAAAATGCGTTTTAAACCTAATTTTGAGGCAAAGTCATCACACTTTTTCAGCGATTTTTTTTTTTTTTTTTTTTTTTTTTTTTTTTTTTTTAAATCATATTTTATTACTGTTTGTATACAAGCAGTTTTTATGTCCCGGTGACCAGTGAAAGTGCAGTACTGAGTCTCTACCCATTCATTTAGATAGGAGCCTGGTCTTGTTAGTCCGAAATAGCTGCCAAGATGGCGGCCGAGTGGCATGACTTGCCTAAAAGGACTTTGCTTCAAGTTGCTGGAGCAGCGGAAAGGAAACATCAATTTGAGTATTGAGAAGCACCCAGTCACTTGTTTCATTTGAATTGGTGTTTCGAATTAATCAGTTGAATAATGATTCGGTGACTCGTTCATAAAGAAAGTAATTTGTCCTCAAACACTAATGTAACAATGTAAGCTGCAGAAAAGTCACTGAAAATATCCTGATTATTAATGCATATATTGACAGTTTATGAACTCTAAGTTAGCAATAATTTTGGAGTTACACTGTAGATTAAAAGGATGCTAACTCTGGAAATGGTCGACTGTTTTGCATTCCTCACTGTCCTCTTCCGTAGTGTGGATTGTTTTACCTTTTAGCAGAAGCCCTCATGCAGGCTGGCTGTTAAGAACTAATGTATCAGTTTCCTCTGAACCGTTAGAGTCAAAAGCCTTAGAAGTGCCATTAGACTACTCTTTTTATTTACACTGCATAAACCTTTGAATCAGCTGAGGGTATGAGCACAGAATCAGTAGATCCTGCCTTTGGATATTATACACTAAAAGAGACTATATTGACGTACTGACAGTATCTAAAATGGTGTGTGTTATGGTGTACAATGCTTACATTAAGTGCCGGTCCACTCTATATGCAAAGGTGCATATTGGGTCCCTGAATCACCAGCGGGCCCCCTTGCTCTCGAAGATTATTTAGCATGCCACTATATAATGTAAGCATTTTTTTTTTTATAACATGCTAAATAAATGTGATTCAACTTTAGCTGACTCATGCGGAAATTTCTTTTTCATAATACTTAATGATTTATATTCATTTAATAACTCTGACATCATGCTGTGCGGCAGATAATGCCATGTGCCGTGACATTTGACTGTATGTCTTCCAGACTAAGCTATCTGTCCGGAGACATTTGCCACATTACATTTACCAACAATGCAAACATGTTTTTTATAAGTCTTGGTTGTGGCAAATAAAGTTTAAGTAATCCTCGGAGTTGCCACAGTTATAATTGACAAAGGATGACTTACATACCACTCTTAGAATACCATTCTTTGCTTCTTATGGGCTTTTCATAGCTGATCAAATGCCTATTAGTCTAAAGTTAGTACTGTCACATGTCTTACAATCCAAAGAGACTTGAAACAGGAAATATAAAAAAATAGTAATTTAGGAAAAGACTACTTATTTAAGAGGCTAATAAAGATTGCAGGTAACATAAACACAACTAACACTGAAGATGACCGACAACAAACTGAACCAAACAGGAAGTATTTATACACAAGGAACATGTGGGGACTAAATGGGAACAGCTGAACAAGTATTAACTGATTACCATAGAAGAACTAATACTGAAACGACAGGAACGAACCAAACAGAACATAATCGTGACAAGTACATTTAGAGAACTATTGATTTATTTTTTTATGTTTACGTAAGTTTTCTAGGGTAAACTATATTTATCATATGTTTTGTTTATAAATCACACTTTTGAGGCATTGACAGTTTTCTGACAGCTACACTCTAAACGATGTTGGGATGTTTTAACCCAAATTTGGGTCAAATATGGACAAACCCAAATGTTGGGTTAAAAATTTAAATTTGAACACCAACTTCAACTTTCACTTTCAACTGTACATTTTTTAATTACATTTTTAACCCAACATTTGGGTTTGTCCATATTTGGTTTGAAACATTGAGCATTTTTTAGAGTGGTCAACATGATTAGTGACACTTTCATAAAGCATTTAATTAGCTGTCAACAAATTTAATTTTACTTGTTACACTCTAAAATGTTTATCCATGGGTTTATCCATATCTGACCCAAATTTGGGTTCAAATAACCCAGCATTTTTTAGAGTGTATTACTGGCAGTTTCCTGTGTTTTTAAAGGGTTTTCATATTTAAATTTTCAATTTGCACACCTTGCATACAGATTACCATTGTCATTACTACTGTTTATTGTAATTTTACTCACTGTATGTTGTTTGTTGACACAGTAAAACAGCTCTTAAAGAACAAATGGGATGAGATGGGGTGGGGTGGGGTGTTTGCTTAGGGTCTCCAGAACTGTAGGACCAGCACTGATGCTGTCAATACATTAATAATATACAGTATGTTGCAGTGTCTACATAAACATACCAAAATGTACGTTCACAAGAACCTCACTTTAGATATGAATGCCTCCGATTACTAATCACCTTGGTGTATCGAAACAGCAGCAATGTCCGGTGTGGTTCAACAGCTGAAGGTCTGTCTCGTCCTGTGCAGGTGTTTGAACAGCTGGCTGAGTCTGGACCCGAGGGCGCTTGACAGGAAGCCAGAGAAGAAGAAAACAACTCAGCAACAAACAGAGAGGCAGAGTGCAGGTGATGGACGAAAGAAGGCTGGAAGGATCCACGCACCTGCTTGTTACAGGAGGGATTTGCTGGTCTAAGCACATTTCGGGGGGTCTCTGTGTTTGGAATGCAACGGTGCAGCTCGAGGTGAGTGAAATAATAACAAAGTCTTCTTGGCTTTGAGGGATATTCGCCAGACCAAGACCACAGAACAACCAAGGTCTGAATCCCGCTTTGTGCTATGAATACAAGAACTTAAAAACCGCGAAAAAAACACCCTGTGTAATGTAGTGAGGTTGATATGTTCATTTGGATAACACTGGATGTCTAAAAATACATTTGGATACCTCTAAAGATTCATTAGAAATATGTTCCATACCCAAGTCAATGATGTGGTACATTTTGTTTTTTCCATCTTATCTAATGTATTAAAAATACATTAAATTCATTTTGATATTTTTGGGGGGCAATAAAGTGGTAAAGTGGTAAAACTGAAAACACTTGTAGTGAAAAGAATGACATGAATAAAAAAAGTATGAAGTAGTTTGGCGTAATCGTTTATTATTATTATCATCATTATTATTATTTTCTCTGGATAAAAAAAAACTGCTTTAGTGAATATTTATATTTGAAAAACTTTAGGATGTCAAAAGTCATGTGGCACAACCAACAAAGTCATGTGGCCGAACTAACATGAGAAATCATGGAACAGGAAATCATGACCACTTCAGACCCTAGACCCAATGTAGCCTACATTGAGTTTAATTTATCATCATAGATGTTATGTTTAACATGCTAATTTAACCCTTACATGCATTATAATACAATATATTGTTTCTTGGCAATGTTGATTCTGATATTGATTCTTCTTGTCAGTGAATAAAAACATAAGCCCCTTTCACACAGCGCGTTGATCCCGGGAAATTGCCAGAACGCCTTCTGTGTGAACGCAAACACGACACGGGATTGATACCGGGACTGATCCCGGGTTGGGGACCTAGTAACATTGCCGCGATCACTCCCAGAACGCGCGCTGTGTGAACAAAAGCCAAGACCAATGCCGTAAAGGGTGTGTCATAGTGATGACGCTCGTGCCATCGCGCGACTCTGTTGCTCTTAGAAGAAAGTTTGTGTTCGTCATCTACAAAGAAAGGACAAACAAATACCTGCAAACTGGAGCGAAGCAGAGACCAGCTCCTCACTATCCGCGCTGAAGCTGAGATCGTTCACCAGCTTTGTGGAACGGTATGAGCGTGTACATGTTTTCGACGCGTCCGTTATACGTCTCATCCTGACGTCATGTGTCTTCCCGGTATTTTTACAAGTCTCCAGCAGCAGACCTTTCAATTTGTTATTTTTGTGTTAGTCTTTTTATTTCTTCAAATTACAATATGCAGTTTGTGTTTAAGGATAAAAAAATTATATAAACCATGCAATTTATTTAGTTAAGCATAGCCTACAGTATAGTTTATACGTAATTCCTTTGCGCAGCTGTGCAGTGAATGAGATTCGAGAATCAAATTCTGGCGGTTTTGTAGGCCTACAGCAAAGCTTATGCTAAAAAGTGGTTTAAAGTTTCGTCGCTGACAAAGACGAATTTGACCAACAACAACGTGCGTGGAGACGACTCTGGAGCTAATGAGATGGTAGGAACATAGACAATATAAGAAGGGTAGGAATAGAGTGCCGAAGTGATGACGTCACTTTGTAGGACAACCTGGAAGCTAGCGGTGCATGGGTTCCCTCGGTCGAAAAGCAATGCATTTTCCCCATAGACTTTTGGAAAATCGCAAAAAATAAGATCTGTGTTTAACAAAGGGTTGTGACCCTTACACGTTTTTTCTAGCAAGATAATCTTTACAAGTTAATCCAAAATGTATACATTTTGAAGCCTATATAAAGATTTTAAAAAACACAATCAGGCACAATAAAGTTATAACTGTGCGTTCTATGTCATAGATCAAAACGTGAAAATATTTAGTGGCTTTTTTCAACACAGACCTTATTTCAGGCGATTTAGCAAAAACCCATTCAAAAATCCCATAGGCTTTAGAGCGAGGGCACCGTAATGCTAAAATGCTAACTCACTTCCGCGTTTTGGCCTACAGAGTGACGTCGTAACTTCGGCACTCTATAGAGAATTTGTCTGCTACGTTGCTAAATTTGTATTGCAGTATGTTATGCATTGCTTTTATTATTGCTGTATTGTTGGTGGAAACCAGGTGCTTTTGTGACTCATGTCTATGAAGTGTAGAGTCATAAATCAAATTGGTTTTAGCGTAGTTTCACTTTGGACTTTGGACTAATGATATTACGTTGATTGCGCGCGCCTTTTACTCAAGAAAGCCACTAGATGGCACTGTGTTGTGTAAGTGACGAACTATGCAGATTAACAAAAAAATATAGGCTACTATAGTAGTGTACCCTTTTGTCTATGAGTGTGGTCTACCCTATGGCACCCTTTAGCATCAATATAACACACCTCTGTTATGTAGGTTTAGGTCTGTGGTAGTGTTAGGGTTAGACCACTAGGAGGCACCTTCTGGCCCATATATACATCTGCGTCTCATATTGTCGCAAAAGGGTGCCATGTGTGTCGGATGTAGATGCATTGTCAAAAGCGTCAGTTAGATGACGCCTTGGGATGAGACCGGGCTGGTATGGTAGGCAGTTTATTTATTTATTTATTTCAGGATTTCCCCTTTCAAGTTGGACTTAGTCTTGGAAGCTCTAAATAGCTTCTCAGAGGCATAGCAAATATGACCAAACAGGCTTTCCTTGAAAGGGACTTTGATAGGCTATAAGTCACAGCTCGTTGATAAAAACACGATTTATTTTTCGGAAAATACAGTATTTTAAGTGTCATGTCCCACCATGAGGTGTTTCTTTTGAAGTCACCCTGACAGAGACTTACACTATAGCAAATAAATAAATAATCAACCTTTCATTAATGCATCAACAGCCAAATGGAGGAAATCATTTCTCACCCCTGACTCACCTCACCTTCAGTCTCAATCCATATGAGTCATGCTGTGGTATTGAGGCCTTCCTGTGAGTCTGCTCCTGGCCCAATTGACTATTGTCTTGGTGGTGTAGTGAAAATTGGAGGACGCTGAGCCCCGAGCTCCCCGTGGACTTCCCCAGCTGTAACCCTAAGGATGGAAAAGCCAGACCTACATTAACCCCTTGCAATTCCCATATCCTCCTCTGTTCCAGGGCCAGGGGCTTCAGAGGGCCCTACATTATTCATGTCCTATTGAAATGATATGCTGTCAACCTGCGACCAAACATAATGAATTCTGAAGCTGCCGAGAATTCGAACTAGCCGAGTCACTAAAAGCTGAAGAACAATAAATGCTTTAAAAACGACAAAGGCACAAATAGTAACAGAAAATATAATAAAAGCTCCTTCAAAATATATTATAATAGAATATAACGTAACACTGATTTGAAGTAAACCCATCTGGATAGATTTCATATGCATTACATTTTGTAATGTAAGAGCTGAATGAGACCATAAAATAAAGGAAGTTATATATCATTTTTGTCACATATATCTCATGCTCTCTATCTCAGAAGGCCAGGGCTAGTAAAAGTCATGCTTTGCGTATAGAGACATAAGCTTTAGAGATATTGGAAAAAGGACCCATCTGTTAAGAGTATCTCGGTCCCTCACAAAAAAAAAAAAAAAAAAAAAAAAAAACACGCCTTCAGAAAGCAGGGCTTTTAGGAGGGGGATGGTGGTCGGGTAACCTCACATGGGGTGCCCCTTTCTGCCTGAGAGGAGATGCACATACCAAGAACTTCATCAAGAGTGCAAGACATCCATCATTCGCCCCAGTGCTATTATAAACAACCCACAGCCAGCCACGGAGAACCCCAAATGGTGTTCCACCTCTACTCTGACAAGATAGATGGTCCAAAGTCTTGGAACGGGCATCCGGTGAAGAGCAGACAAAGCAGCCCATCTGCTGGTGGATTAAGACAAGACTGCATGATTTATTTTAATATTTAGACGTGCATACACAAAGTGTTATTAGCCATTTGGAGGGCGGGCCCCACTGGCACACTAAGTAATTGCTACTAAATGGCCGTGTATAATGAAAAATCTCACATCGCTAAACCAAATCACCTCCCTGTTGCTAAGTAATCACCATCAAACATGTTTGCATGCGGCGCATTCAGCATTTAGGTTGCAACGTGGGTTGTCTTGTCGGATTTACATAATTACATTTGCCAGATTTCAATTACAGTTTTAAACCATCAACAGGAATAAAATGGAGAAGAAGATATGTGCAGTTAAACTTTAGCATGCAGGTCTTTGAAATGGAAGATGAATAGTTGAATAGAACAGAAGCACAGATTGTGTGAAGTGCATGATTTCCACAGCTCGCTCTGTTAACATCAAACGACAGGATGTGACAGCTCAGATGCCATGTTGAGGAAGGAAAAAGCTTTGTTGTGGGCCTCAATGTCCTTTGATGATGGAGCTGAATCTCAAAAATGATTGGAGAACCTGCCATTAAAAAAAAATACACAGGCAGATCGAATGGGTCCCCACAAGAAATGTTTTCCTCACTTACAGTAGTATCCTGCTCATATACTGTAGGCTATATATATGCGAAATGAGTTATTAAACAACCTTCAAAATTATGTATGATTTTTTTTTTTTAATTAGACAAAGAATTACTGAGCTACACCTGTTTGGAGTCGATAGAGTCAGCTAAATACATTTTGAGAAAAATCAAGTTGAAGTTTTCTGAAGGTTCCAAAGCAAAATAACCTTGCAACCATACCTTAAAAACCCTGGTAATAACACCAAATTTGGCACACACCAAGTCAAACCCAATATATTAATATTGGGGGACTAATGAGGCCCCCAATGAGGGTATGTTTTTTATTTTTTTGAAAGGGAACACTTTAGTTTAGGATCTAATGCTCACTACGGTATTAACCAGTTTCATTACCATGCAAAGGCAGGGTTTTATAATCACTGTGGTGTGGTCCCGAATGTGAGGTAGGTTAGTTAGGGGGGTTCAGGGTTTCCCCGAGGAAATTTTGATTTCTCTGATCTTCATATGTGCATTTTAGGATGTTATGAAGGCCAAAAAAAAAAAAAAAAAAGAATAACCACTAAGTACAGTATG